CCGCCACACAGAGTGACCTCGCGTACCTCCAGAAGTTGACGAACTGGATCAAGACGACGTTGTCCGAGGACCAGGTCGCGAGATACATGAAGGATGGCGCACATGTCATTATGACGGGTGCGCGATCCCCCATAGGCACAGAGAAAGATCAGTTGCGGAGATTGGCCAACACGTCCAAGAAGAGGTATCAGAAGTGGGTCGAAGCCGGTAGCCCGCCTGCACACGAATGCAGATTAATGGGCGAATCCGAGGACGACCGACCTCTGTACTACCCATGCGCCAATCTCATTCAACGCTTTCTCAACGACCTCAGATTCCATCATCAGATGACAGGAGCCCGCGTGAATGTCGGCAAGAAGCCCTGGAGAGTCGAGGACATGCGCGACGCGTGGGGCATCCTTGACGTCAGTATTAGGACAGGACAGGCTGGTCGGAGAAAGTGGTGGCTGAACGAGGGACGCATTGACAGGCAGACGCGGCAGGCGCGCGGACTGATTACGGTTTCTCTCCCTCGAGGGGACGGAACTCGTGAACAGTTCACCCAGCGCAAGCTTGCCGCGATTGCCAACGAGCTGATAGGCTCCCTCGATCCGTCACACACTGACCAGAGGGGGGGTAGTACAGGGATGAGAACCGATCCAGATACACACTCCCAACAGTCCGATGACGCCATGGAGCCGCGGCCGCCGCCGCGCCCTGCTCCTGGCGACGCCGCTGCATCCAGCGCCTCAGGCGCAGAGGACTACATGCCCGCGATGCCGCGCGCCAAGAGAGCACGTACATCCGATTACGCTGCTTACTGGCGCCACAATCTCGAGGACAGCGATTGGGGTCTTCGATGCTGGAGTTATTACATCAAATGTTGGATCTACATTGCGATCAACAACGACGAGTATGTGTACATCCAGGATATCACGTACAACGATTGGTTCCGCAACTGGATCCCGAGGACCATTTGGGAAACGTTTACGACAAGCTATGTGACGTACAACGGCCAGAGGGTGTGGGACCGCAGGTTCTACAAGGACGGCGACGCGTAGTGAGTCGGCCGCAAGGTCCACTGCTCAGGAGCAGAACTTCCGTTCATCAAAGTTCGCCTTGAGCGGTGGCTGATACATTCTTTTAGGCCACTTCAATCTTTCACACAAGTGGCCATACACACATATAGATATCTTTTGCGATCACCGAGGCAGCCTCCTAAGGAGCAACGCCAACGGGAGTCGCCAAACAGATTCTATACATCATTTTCGTGTTCATCAACACGACATTTTCTCCTGGCCAGGTACTTGCTTTAACACAGATTTGCATTTCTTTCGGGATCGTGTTCGTCGACACGACCTTGGCATACATTTGCTTTTAGGCAGACTTGTGTTTGATTTCAAGATTGTGTTCGTCAACGCGATCTTAGCATGCATATTTTAACAATTTAACAATATTGCGTCGAGAATAATCTGATAGCTGGTGGCAACACCTGCCTCGCAAATCTTGCGAGGCGGTTGACGTTGCCTTGGTGCTCAGATCTTCTTTCTCCGCCTACCTTTGTCTCATTCTTCTCCTCCCTCGAGTGCCGAAGCGTTTTGGGGGGCGCACCGAGGGGGCGGCAAAGACCGCCTGGAGAAGAAAAAGAGACCCAAGATATCTCTTCTTACCTCACTTTGCAGCTGTGGCTTCGCTGACTTTTAGCCCAGCTGCCTTTTCAGACTTAAGGTAAAGGAGTTCTGAGGTTACGGATTCCATCCTCCTGATCCCGAGTCCTGCCTTCACGGGCGGGATTCGGGACGGGGGGTGTGTGTGGAACCCGTGTAATACCCTCATATATACTCCTTATCCTTACCTCTCCCGCACCTGGCCGTTTGGGCTCAGGTACTGAGTTGGAGCGATCGTACCTTGATCGCTTGGGAGGGAAAGATATCCATCTATCCCTCCATCTCTCTACCAACGGATCAGGGGTTCTGTACTCTTGTACTTCAACCCCATACACACAAGAGACGGGGGTCCACGCAAGCGGGGTGCAGCCAGAGCGCCGGATCTTGCAGGATCCTGCAGTGCCAGGGTCGCATTGACCCGGGCTTGGGTGCAGGATCGCGCAGGATCTTGCAGGGTCTTCCGCACTGACCCGGGCTTGGGCGCAGGATCTTGCAGGATCCTGTTTCAGGCTTGATCGACCCTGGGTCTGGATATTGAGACGGGTCCGAGGATCCCCGACGAAGCGCGTCGGCGAATTTCCCATTTTCCTGGGTGGCGGTCGGCGCTCCTGCTGTGAAAGGAACCCGTCCCATACCTTAATCTCTACTCCTCACTCGCCCTTTTGCCTGCCTTATCGGCTCAGGTGCTGGAAGAGACCAGGACGCTGGTCACACAGGAGGAAAAGGTCCCCCCCATCTTTCCCTCCTTCCTCTACCTGTGGATCTGGGTTTCTGTACCTTGTGTATTCTAACCCCATACGCACCTGCAGCCCCCTGGCGCTGCCCAGCAGCACGGCGCGTTGGCCTCCACAGAACGGGCCCGCGCTGTGCCCGCACGGGCGCGCGGCCGCACGGGGGCCCTTCGCGCGTCTGCCTCCGAGGCCGCGCACGTTTGGCGTCGGCAGCAGCAGCAGCAGCAGGGATGCGAAGATACGGAGCGTGGAAACGACCACAGCCACTGCTTTTCTTTGGCTGCCGCCTTCCAGCCCGCAGAAGCAAAGCAGTGGTTGTGGTCATTTTCGTTGAGTTCGGCACCAGGCAGGGGGAAGGGCTTCTTAGAAGGAGGCTGCTTCTTAGAACCTGCCGGCCTCACGTCCACAGAGGAGGCCCGCGCCCTCTAAGACGCAGGGGTGCTTCCAAGGAGCCCTTCCCCCTCCCCCTGCCCCCCTTCCGCGCGCCGCTAAGTCTGGCGTCGGCAGTAGCAGCAGGGATGAGAAGAGGAACAGGGGGACCATCACGTGGCTCCTGGGGAGGCTAAGGGCTGGCCGACCCGACCCTAGCCCGAAACCTCGTGGCGCTGGGCCACCAGTTGTTCTCCACAGCGGCCATGGGTGCCGCTGAGACGGCAGTGCGCTGCCGACGCGGAATGCGGTGCTGGGGCCTGGCGTGGCCTTGCACATCAAGCCTCAGCAGCACCGTGCCGCCACCGCCCACGATCGTAGGGGGGTGGGGAAGTGGGGCGTAGCCACTGTCGGGGCGGACTGGCAACCCAAGTCCAACCCCGTGCTCAGAGGCCCCCGTGGGGTTGTCGCCTGGCCGACGGAACCCCGAAACTCGGGTTCGAGGGCTTGGTGCGTAACCAGCACCGTCAGTCCAGGAAACAAGGTCTGACTCTAGGAAACAGCTGTGGGCTGAGGCGAAGCTGCAGCCCTGTGCCGCAGAAGAGTGTGCGGCGCTCCTTCCCCCTGAGGCGGGGCGCCTGACACGCGTGCAGAACCACACACGTACGCACACACGCACAGTACTCAGTTGGGCCCAGATGTGGCGTTGCACACCTGGCCACAATCCCGTTCCTCCGCCGCCTGTGGCGGGGAGGTGGGAAGGTGGATCAGGGCAGCAGTTCGGGTGGGCAAGGAAACCCAAAGTCCACCCCCGTGCTCAGCAAAGAGGTGGCGCCAAAACAGCACTGTGCAGTGAAAGGGGCGGCATGCCTCGCCTGGCTGGCGGTACCCCAAAACTCGGGTACTAGGGCTGGCTGCGGGACACCAGCACCGCCAGTCGGAGCGAGAAACAAAACCCCAGATCGAACCTGCATCGGGCCAAGGCGAATCTGCGGCCAATGCCGCAGGAGAAAGAAATTAACGCTCCTTCCCCCTGAGACGGGGTGCCTGACACGCGTGCGGGGACCGCGTTCGCACACACGCACAAGTACACAGAGAATGAGGCGACGCCAGGACGACTCAGCACTGCCCACCCCTGGTGTAGAGAACGCCAGGACGATGTGCAAGGAAGAGGAGGAGGAGGAGGAGGAGGAGGAGGAGAAGAAGGAGGGGAGGAGGAGGAGGCGGACACTGATGCAGAGAAGAAGGGGAGGTGGGCGAGGCGGAGGTCAGGGATGACGAGGTTGACGAGGTGGAGGACGACACATGTGAGGGTAATGGCAGGAAGTGCAGCAGACTCAGCAGCAGCGTGTCCGGGTGGCACAGGGCCAACACGCGTAGGAGAGAAGAGGCAGGTCAGCCTTCTCCGCCTGCATAGTGCCCTCGTAGTCAGCCAGTTACTCGTGCCATCAAGTCGCCGTCTTGTTTGTTGCGCTAGCTGCTCCTCTTCTTCCCTGCACCACGCCATCGTCCTCTCACGTCCTTCTTGTTGGCCTTGCGAGGGACTCCTTGCCAGCGCCCACGGCAGGATCAGGTCGATGACAGAGAGTGGTTCGGGTGGACCTGGTGTTCAATGGGCGGCCAGGGTCATGCGAGCAATGAGCCACCGTAGTGCGTGCCATGGCTCTTCTACTTGTCCTCCAGTGCCTTCGCTACTTCGGTGGTGTGCTTGCAGCGGCCCAGATGGCTTCTTCTATGCTTTCATAGGGGGCTCTCCTGCCGCCCGCTGCTGTCGCTAAGCACTACAATTCAGTCGGGCGTGTCCCTCTACAAGGGGAATATTCGAAAATAGTCAAAAATATGGTCTGTGGGCGAATTTTGGGGATTATTTTCAGCAATTTTTGAATATAATGGGGTAACTTTTATTGATCGTCCAAAATCCCCTGTAGGGGGACGTGCCCGACCTAACACTACAGGTCCACATCATGGCACGTCTGTTCCACGGGGCTCACGGTGGAGCCAGCTCCGGCAGTCCATCACGAGTTGCCGACGCAGGCGTTGATCCTTCTGTCTGTCACTCAGAATCGGGCGAATGGGGTCTTTGGAAATGGGGCCGCAAAACGTGCGCGCAATAGTTCATACAATAGTTGAAAGCGATCACATACATAGTGCCGTGCCTCGTGCAATAGTCGGGGTACACTAGTTTGCTCGCGCGAATGCAATAATTTATCTCTGTGGTGCAATAGTTCTTGTTCTCACTTTTTTCCGAGCAGTAGTTTGCAATAGTTTGTGTTCTCGCTGTCTCGCGGGGCTGGACAGTGTCCAGCCTCGCGCACCCCTGGACCCCCCCAGTGGATGCAATTCTCGAACATCGCCTACACCACCCGCTGCCGCCGCTACTTTGCAGCACGCGAGGACGGGAACAGGGTCAGTGAGGGGCAACTGCCTCTGGGAGGGCGTGCGGCGCATGGTCTCTGAGGGGCCGCTCCCCTTCTCCAAGGAGCCCGCCGCCAGCGTAGAAGGCCGAAGGCCGCCAACTTCAAGCCAACTTCGCCGTGTGATAGCCGTTTTGGTCCTGGGTTGCTGCCCAGCGGTGTCCTCACACAGCTTCCACGCCTATCATACCCCATCGCTCTTAGGATGCGTCGCGCCAGCTATGTCAAGACGGCGGCGTTCGTACTCGTCAGCGCACGTGCTATGAAGCTGAGTGCTGATGGGGTGGTGAAAACACAGTCCAGAGACACCGAATGGGTAAAGGGGATCAGTGCAGATCGCGAAGCCAAGTGCTCTGTGGACAACGAGTGTATTCTCGGCTCTGGCTTGGGCTCTTGCAAAGTGATGGTGGACCCTGCCAAGGCTGCGACGTTTGTTCCTACCTTAGGCTCGACCGACCAGACCGAGTCTGTGGAGAGCCGGGCAGAGGTAGAGTCGGGCAGCATCATCGTCTCTGGCCTTTCGAATACATCACATTGGAACCTTTGCTGGAAGTCAAGTTCCCTTGGACTCGATCGCCGAGGTTTGCGCATGAAGGGTGCGTCGGATTATTGTTTCTATGTCAACGGCCTCTGCTTCATTTGGGCTTCCCCATGTTCTGGCGGATGTTCCCACTTGGGTGCGCTGTCCTCGTATTCCTCGTTCTGCCCCACGCTGCGCTACGCCACAGAGCAGGAGTGGTCGTCGGCCTTGCCGATTCTGAATGCGAATCGTCCTAAGTTCTACAACCTGTGCGCAGCCAGCCAGCTGGATCCACAGTGGAGCCACTGCGACTATGGGGTGCACGACTCTGGCAACCAGTTCGCTCGCATTGAGGACGGTTCGTGGAACGAGCTGATTCTTGTGTGTGGCCCTGCCGAGGGCCCCGGAACCTCCGGAATTTCTGGCCCTACGCGTTCGCCGTAGCCGACGCCCTCTCTTACGCCTTACTCCACGCCAGACCCGACGCCGTACATACTCCACGCCTGACCCGACGCCTTACCCTCGGGGCCTTTCGCGTTGCCGTGCACCGAGGCTTAGCCTGGATGGTCGTTTTGATGTCATACTTTGCTTTCTGCGTCGAGTGAAAAGAGGCCGCCCTCATCACCTTGCCGCCTTCCGTGCCAGGCTGACCTGCAGTCGCGGTCCGTGATAAGGATGTGGCGATGTTCCAAGCGTGTCCCTGCATCCTTGCCTTCGGCCCATCCTCCGCAAGCATCGGCAGCCAGACCCCATGATAGTTGCAAACTTGAAGCTCAAGGGTCTTGCATCCTTACCTGGCATCCTTCAGGCATGCGGCGGCTGCACCGTCATTACTGCTTCTCATACCTCACCGGTATTATTCAAGACGCTTCGCGTTCACCGCCCGCCCATTCCAGTTCTCGCCGGACGAGGCGAAGACGGTTCCATGACGTGATAACCATAGGCAGGAATTCATACAAGTCGTGTGCTTTGTTGTTTTTGTCCCGCGTTCTCTCTTCCTATGCTATCGCCTACTATGCTCAGGCATGCCTCGTGGCTGTTCGACAGTAGGTTTGTTGTATTTGCTACTGTTAGTGGTGGTGGTGCTGCGGCTGGTGTTGCTGCTGGTGTTGCTGTTGTCGCTCCTGCTGGTGGTACGGTGCAGTGCGGGTGCCGCTGCTGTTGTTGGTCCTACTTTTGCTGCTGCTGCTGGCGCTGCTGGCGCTGGTGCTGATGGTGCCGGTGTTAGTGCTGCTGCTGCTTGTGGTGCCGCTGCTATTGTCAGTGGTGGTGCTGGTGGTGCTGCTGCTGCTGCTGCTGGCCGCAGTGGTGGTGCTGCCGCTGCTGGTCGTGCTTCTGCTGTTGACGTTGCTCTCTGGGGGGCCTGTCGGGGTGCTGCTGAGGCTCCGTCGTTGACCTCTTGGGGATCCTTTGAATGGTTCGGGGTCCTCTTGGTGCTCTTTCGGGAACCCTGGGGGTCTTTGAACTCTCTTGGGGCTCTCTCGGGGGCCCTTTGGAGCCTCGGAGGAGGAGCTCTTGGGGCCTCCTTGGAGGCCATCGGTCACACTAGGGGCGGGGTCCCCGATTGACGCCCTCTCCTCTGGAGCCCTCAAAGTGGCCTTTTGGAGCCCTCGTGGGCCGATGTTTGGCCGCCCTTGGGCGTTCTTGGGGCCGTCTTGAGGGCTCTTTGGGCTCCTCTTGAGCTCCCCGCATGCTGCTGAGGTCTTGTTGGTCCGCAGCCGCACGGCTCAGAATGCGGAGCCGAGCGCAAGGGCTTCCACGCAGGCCCTTGCGAGTGCGTCGGGGCCGTGGCCAGCAATGACGCAGACTAATGGGTGATGTCGGCGGTGCTCGTATTCGCGGCGACGGTGGAGTATTGCAGGTACAGTTCTGTCGCGCTTGTGCAGTCGACTGATCCGATGGTAGGGAAGGCGGCATGTTCCCGTGGTGGGCTTGTGTCATACGGTGGCGTGGCAGTCTCGTGGTTTTGTCGCGCTTGCGCAGTCGATTGATCCGATGGCAGGGAAGGTGGCTCTTGGAGTGGGTTCTCCAATGGCTGACCAGATGACTGGCCCGAGATGTGCCGTGGTAGATGTCTGGGTGCTTGTCCCGACGGTTGCCCGGATTCTTTTCCCGTTGCTAGTCTCGGCGGTTGCCCGAGCGGTTGGTTGCCCCGACGGTTGCCTTGGCGGTGATCTGGCCAGCAAGGCGCCAAGAAGGGCCGAAGAGGAACCCGAAAAGGGCACAAAAAGAGGCTAAGACGGCCCCGAGGCGGTCTGGGGGAAGTCCAGGGCGGCTCAAGCGACAGCACTTCCACGTTGGGTCGCAACCGCGTCCGTATTGCAGTAAAAACCGGGCGGGGTCTGACCTGGTTTGGGATCCGTTTTGCGGCCCAACATGGGCCCCGCAGCGTCCAAAATGGACCCCGGAACGCGCCCAAAAACTGCGAACAAAAGGGAGTGATGAAAAATGACGCGCGCGAGCCTGGAAGTCAACTGTAAGCAGCGTCCTGGACAGCCCCGGGGAAGCCGAAATCAGGCCCAAACCATGGTATTTGCTATTTTTACATCCCCACGGGTCGGCGAGAATGAGCCACAGAGGCGCTGTCGAGGGCTCCGTGAGCGGATACTGGAGGTCAAGAAGGGGCCCCGACGGGGCCGAAATGGAGCCCACAGGCGCCCCGGCAGCGTCTTCAGAACGATGCCAAGATCGAGCGTGTCTTGGACGCCGTCGTGGAGCCGTTTTGGAAACCGAAAAAGGGCATTGCCGCAGCCGGCGGAATGGCGGAGGCCTCTGGGGGGGAAAAAGGGGGGGGGCTAAAGCTCTGTAATTGAATCTCACACGCCCCTCAGCCCGGTGGGCGGGCGGATTCAAGCGGCTTGCGCCATTCCGTCGACCCCCAGAGGAGAAACGAAGTAGACCGGTGAGGTCTTATGTCTCTTGGGAACCGTTTGAGGGGCCTATTGAAGCGTCTGTGGGGTCTCTTGGGAGCCTCTTGGAGCCTCTTGGGGATGTGTTGTGCGCCTGCTGGCGGTCTCGGGGGTCCTCTTGGGGCGGAGGGCTCGAAATGGAAGTTCAAGGTCTCCCTCTTGGGACCCTCTTGAGGCTTTTTTGGGGGCCCTCTTGGGCCGTCGTGGGCGCCTCTGGGGCCGTTCTGGGGCTCTCTTGTCCTCTTATGGACCTCCCTCTTTGGGCCGTCCTGGAGCGATATTGGGGACCGCTTGAGCCGCTTCGGACGCTGCTGAAACCAAAAGGGTGAGCATGCTACAAATGTATATTTTCCGTCAGTATTGGGGCGATTTTGGCCCCTTGAGGTCCTCTTCCGTCTTAACGTTATATTGGTTGTTTTTGAGGCCTCCTTGGCGTGTTGGAGCTCAGCTTGGATACCGCGCGCTCGTGGCACATTTCCCCCTACAAGGGGGGCCCATCTTCAAGCTACCCCCCCTCTCTTAGAAAAGGGGGGTGCTTCCGAAACTCCCCCCCTCTCCCTTTTTGTTTTCGCTGGGGGAGGGGGGGGCGTAGCTAAAGGGGAGGGGGGGGGCTTGGAAGCTACCCCCTTCTCCCCCTTTCGGGAGGGGGGGGTGTCTCCGAAGCTACCCAACCTATTCCTTTTAATTTGATGTTGTAGCTGGAGGGGCCCTGGCTACAGAAAGGAGGGGGCTTGGAAGCTACCCCCCCTCATTTTCGGGGCCCGGGGTAAGCTCGGGCCCCCCTTTCAAAAGGGAAGGGGGGGGCTTCCGAAGCTCCGCCCCCTCCTCTCCTTCTGTTGGCTTTTCCAGCTGTCGGACCCTGGCTGAAGGAGGGGTGTTCGAAGTTACTTTTCCTGTTAAGTGTTCGGGGTTCCCTTTGTTTTCGGCGCACAGATGGTTTTCGGCGTCTCTTTGGTTTTCGGTTTCTGACTGGTTTTCGGCGCCCCTTGGGCCTTTGGCGCCCCTTTAATTGTCGGCGCTCCTTTGGTTTTCGCACTAGTTTGATTTTCGACGCTCCTGTGGTTTTGGCTCCCCCTTAATTTTTGGCACCCCTATCGTTGGTCTTCGCCGCCCTCTTGGGTTCCAGCGCACCTTTGGCTTTCGGGGCGCCTTTTGGTTTTCGGCGTGCTTTTGATTTTCGGCGCCCCTTTAGTTTTCGGCGCTCTTTTGGTTTTCGATGCTCTTTGGTTTTCGGCGCCTCTCTGGTATTGGTTTTCGATTCTCGACGCTGTTTAGGTTATCGGCGCGTCTTTGGTTGTTCGGCGCCCTTTTTGTTTTCGGCGCCTCGTTGGTTGTCGGCGACCATTCGGTTTTTGGCGCCTCTTTTGTTTTCGGCGCTCCCGCGGTTTTCGGCGCCCCTTCGGTTTTCGGCGTTGTTTTTCTTCCGGCGTCCCTTCTGTTTTCGGCGCCCTGTTGGTTATCGGCGCCTTTGGGGTCTTTCGGCGCCCTCCCGTAGCCGTTTTGGCGCAAGTCATTGAGCGCGAGCGGGCGGCGGCTTCCAGAGCGCGCGCGGGCCCCCTGGGCGCGCCTGGGCTCTGGCGATGCCTCCTCCGATGGAGGCGCAGCCGGTGGTGGCGGCAGCTTTCGGGGCCGTGTCGGCCGTGATCGCTGCTGGGACGGGTGGCGAATCTCTGCGTGCGGTCGTGGCGGCCGTCGTGCGGGGCGCAGCCACGGCGGCGGGCAGAGCAGTGTGCCCCAGCGAGCAGGTCCGGGAGGCCTTGGGCACTCTGTGGATCACCGACGCCAAGAGGGGGGGTAACGTTTTCAGGGAGGCGGGCGAGGAGCAGTTAGCTGGGAGGTTGCTCAATTGGCGTGCAGGCGGACGTGGGGCCGATCGCGAGGTCCTCGATGGTCAATGCGAATGGCGTCGGTGACAAGATTGAGAAGGCGGTGCAGGTCAGCTTCGAGGACAAGCTGAAGAAGTTCGAGAGCATAGTCAACCCAATCCTCATGAAGGGCGAGGTCCACGAGGCAAACTTTGGAGGTGCAGCGGGACATCGTAAAACATTGCCTCAGCGAGTGCAAGCACAAGGAGGTGGGCATCTTGCCGACGATACGTTCGAGGATGGTGGCAAATAGAAGAAGGATAAGGTTGTGCACGGCGCGCCCTACGGGGAGGACCGGCTCCAGAAGGTAGAGAGGATGTCGTTGAGGACGAAATCGACAAGGCGGTGCAGGTGCCTGACGGCTACACGCAACAAGCAGAGGCGCATCGCGGAGCCCGACGCCTGCGCCGAGGACGAGCAGAAGGAACCCGACTGGAGGTCCTCGGCAGCGACGGCTTCGAGGCCGGTGGCAGGGCCATCCTCGGCGACTCGCGCGAGGAGCGGGGCACGGAGAGGGAGCAGGAGCTCAGCGAGCCCCTGGAGCATCTCCGAGCCCTCGCGAGGTCGGCGCGGCAGGCGGGCGCCGACCCGCGCGCGAGCTTCCATGGGCCCGTGCCGCACGGGTTGCCTCCACTGAGCGGCGGGCGCGTGGCGGAGGCCTGTTCTCCCAGGCCGAGGCGCGCGCGAGGCCTGCGGGCGGGGAGGGGGCCGGGGGCAGCGGCCTGGATTTCGGGCTACGGACTCGGCATCGCTCGGACGTGTGCATTCTTCCTTCGGCGAGGACCATCGAGGAGCATCCTGGACCATTTGGCGAAAAAGCCACGCACGAAACCGACAAATGCACAGGGAATGGACGTCCGAGCGATGGCGAGAGGATCACCGCCCACCAAGCCACCCCAGCCGAGCCCGAAGGCCTCCATGTGCCTTGCATTTCCAGGTGTGTGTGGGGGGAACACTGCAGCAAAAACACACGTGGACCCCCCCCAAACCCGAAATTGGGGGGGGGGGGGCCGGGGATCACTGGAACAAAAACACACATGGAACCCGTACCCCCCCCCAAACCCGAAATTCGGGTCAACCTCGGGTCTTCGGGTTGGGTGGGGGTGGTTTGGTTGGTAGTCAAGCCCAGGTGCGCCTGGCTGGTTTTCGGTGCCTCGCTTGTTGTCGAAGTCCTTTTTGGCTTTCAGCGTCTCTTTGGTTTTCGGCGTTCGTTCGTTCGTTCGGCTTTCGGCGCTTTTTTGCTTTCGGCGCCCCTTTGCTTTTCAGAGCCCTTTTGGTCTTTGGTTCTCCTTTATTTTTCGGCGCTCTTTTGGTTGTCGGTTCTCCTTTGGTTTTCGGCAATCTTTTGGTTTTCCGCGCCCTTTTGGTTTTCGGCGCCCCTTTGGTTTTCGACGCTCCGTTGGTTTTCGGTGCTCCTTTGGTTTTCGGCGCTTTTTCTGTTCCCGGTGCACCTTCGGTTTTCAGCGCTTTTTCGGTTCGAGGGGGGCTTCAAACCCCTTCCCTTTCGCTTAAAAGGGGGGAAAGGGGGGTAGGCTTCCGGTAAGCCCCCCCTCTTTGGAAAGGCAGGGGGGGAGTTTCCGGACCGCGAACGGGGGGGAGAAGGGGGAAATGGTGCAACAGGGGGGAGGGGGGGGAGAACTTCCGTCGAGGGGAGGGTGCAACCACGGGGGGGTAGCTTCCCAGAGGCGAAAATGTCGGGGGGGGGGGGGGGGGGGGGGGGGGGGGGGGGGGGGGGGGGGGGGGGGGGGGGGGGGGGGGGGGGGCGGGGGGGCCTTTCTGCGGCAAAGGCCCCCCCCCCCCCCCCCCCCTTGGGAGCGTACCACGGGCGCGCTGTCTCCCAGCTTGAGCAAGCTTAGATGGAGTCCCAGGCATATCAGGAGCCACGAAGTGCAGAAATGGAGGCTCCACAGGCCCCGGGGGAGCGTTGAGGAACCTGGAGACCCCATCCTCCCGCCGCCTCTCTCTCTCTCATCGCATTTCAGACTGGGTCGTCTACCTAACCACGAGTGTGGGGGTATCGGTTTCTTGTGAAGTTGTGAAGTGTCCCGCTACGTTTGCTGTCCCTCCTCCCTTTTCTCCTTTCCGCTCCTTCTCCATCCTACTCCCTCCTCTTTCATCTTCCCTCTTTCCTGTCTTCTTCCCCTGGATTGCAAGAGCGAGCAGGAGGGGTGGGGCGGTGGGGTATGGAGGGGTGAATCCCCCTTCGCCTCCTCCTCCTCCCTCTTTTCCCCTGCTGTTGCTGGTGCTCCTCCTGCTGCTGCTCCTCGTCCATGTCTGCGCCGTGGCCGAAGCCGCGTCGGCGCCCCTGCCCGGGCTCGTAGTTTTGTTCGCGAGACGACGCCAGTGCCAGCGTTGCCCCGGGATCAGGCGCGACCCCGCTGTGCCACATATGGGGGCGCACGTAACTGGGATCAGGGCTGGGGGCGGTGCGGCCAAAGCGCTTGCTCCTATCAAACCTCCGAACGTTCGCGAAACATCTGCACAGTTTTGCCGTGGCTTTCTGGTCTACACTCGCCGGCCCCGGCGCCGGAGCCACGTGGGGCCGCCGTCCCCCCGCTCTCCCCTCCCCCCGCCGACCCGTGCACCTCCACGCTGGCTTCGGCTTCGGCCCTGGCTTCGGCTTCGGCCGCGATGCGCCTTGAGTCGGCGGCGAGCCGGGGGGAGGAGTCTCAGAAGACTCGGAGGTCCCCCCGCCTTATGTCGGGGGCGGAAATGAGGGGGGTGATGACTGGGGGGGGGATAGCATGGCGGGGGCCATGATATCTCCCCAGATCTCATGGCGCCTCTTCTTATTTCATTACTTCCCTGGCCCCCCCGCTGGGCCGCGCACATGCCGCCGGTCATGATTTGCACCCCCCCCTCTTGGACACCCCCCTCTTGGCTGCTCCCGATTACGAGAAATGTTGTTAGCCTCCCCCGAAGACACAATCAAGGTTCTCGGCTATAGCCCCTTCGCATAGGGTATGCATAGGCCTGCTGCAGGTCTACCTGTAGGGTACCTGTAGGTCTACCATGGACTGATGGTAGGCTAAGGGTAGGTCTGTGGTAGGCCAATGGAAGCCTATGGGTAGGTGCGCAGCGAGCCTGTCACAGGTCTATGGTAGACCTACGGCCGGCTTGTGGTTGGCCTACCATAGGCCTATGCATAGCCTATGCGCTGGCGTATGGGAGGCCTATGCGCAGCTTGTGCATCGGTCTAAGCATAGGCTTTCCACACGCCTACGCGTGGACTGCGCATAGGCCTACGACAGGCCTATACTCAGGCTATGCGTAGGCCTTCCGTAGGCCTACCCATAGCCTCTGCATGGGCTTGCCATAGGCCTACCAAGTAGTCGCATAGGCTTGGCATCCTGCTTTAGGCCTACCCGTAGCTTCTGCACAGCCCACTTAGAATTCTATTAGAAACATATCAGCCAGCGTTGACTCCAAATTTCTTGAACGACCCAAATCAAGGAATCCGAGGAATCAATCATGCTTGGAATCCGCAACTCAGCAAGCAGCAAGCAAGCAGGCGTGCAAGCAAGCGCGCAAGCAAGCAAGCAAGCAAGCACGCACGCAAGCAAGCAAGCAAGCAAGCGCGCAAGCAAGCAAACAAACTAGCAAGCAAGCAAGCAAACAGGCATAGGCATAGGCGTAGGCAGAAGAGTTAGTAGGGAGGCATAGGCATAGGCATAACCATAATAATCAGGGGGGCATAGGAATTAGGGGGGGCAGCGGACCAATTAGTAGGGTGCGAGGTAGGACTCCTATGGGGCAAGCTTAGTTGGAGACAGCCCACTGGGAACTCCATGGACAACCAATACAAACAGAGATCCAAAAGGAAGGATTTCGGCAGGAATCTGGTGGGAAGCCACCACAAAGGGCTCCTATAGGGAAAGCGCTAACATAGCAGTCCAAATCCGAAGCCATTGTATACAAACGGGTCCCTACTGGAAGGCGCTAAGACAGCAGTCATACTGGAAACCCACTGCAAGAGATCATACTGGAAGAAGGGATCACAATAATAATCCACTTGGGAACCACCACAAAGGGCTAGCGTGCGACAGAAGAATTCCACTTGGGAACTATTACATCTGGATCCTATTGGAAGGCGTTTCTTTAGGATTCCACTTGGAAGCCACCACAGAGGGTCCATAGTGGAAGGCGCAAGTATAGAAGTCCAATTGGAAACTCACTACAAAGGGTTCTTTTTGGAAGGCGCCACAAGAGGAGTCCAATTGGGAACCGCTACGACGGGATTCGATGGGAAGGCGCTACACTAGAAATCCAGTTGGGAACCACTACGGAGGGTTCCTGCTCGAACGCGCTAGAGTTGGAATCCAACTGGGACAATACAGTGAGACTTGATTGAAAGGCGTACAATAGGAATCCAAGTGGGAACCCTTACAACGGTTTTCTATTGGGAGGCGCTACGCTAGGAATCCAATCGGGAACCACTGCGACGGCTCGCTCTGTTCTTCCACAGCCTTGCCGTGTGCATGTTACAGGCTTATACGTAGGCTGTGCATGAGCCTACCACAGGCCTATGCTGAGGCTGTGTATAGGCCTGTGTTAGCTTTATGGGCACTCTACATTAGGGTTCTACCAGAACCAATGCCAAAAGGAATCCAATTGAACACCAATGCAAAAACATTTGGTTAGAAGGCGTTACATTTGGAATCTGGTTGGAAGCCACCTCAAAGGGCTCCGATTGGAAATCGCTACAATAGAAATCCACTTGGAAACCCACAACAAAAGGTTCTCATTGGAAGGCGCTGCAATAAGAATCCAAGTGGGAGCCACTGCAACGGGATTCGATTGGAAGGCGCTACAATAAGAATCCAGTTGGGAACCACTACGACGAGAAAGCACCTCCACATCCTGCGTCGACCGCACCTCCTCCTCCTCCTCCTGCTTCTGCTTCTGCTCCCGCCCGGCAGTCTCCAGCGTTTCGCCGGTGACCGCCCCGTCGCAAAAGAGGGCTTCAGGCACCCTTTGGGCCTGTAGCTAGCCTGGTGATCATCCTCTTCCCGCCCCCACGCCTCGAGCGGCATGCCTCGAGCCCACTCGCGCGAAGAGGGAGGGGGGCAAGGCAAAGACCCGGTCGCTCATGGCCGGCGTGGCGCCGTCCGTCACCCGAAGCGCGCAGCTCTACCTGATGAGGGGAGGGCGGCGCACGCAGGGGGGCATCGCAGAGGGGAGGTGCCAATGCCGCTGCTCGTCCCGGAGAGCTCTCGTTGTCACGGCTGGATTCTCTTCAGAGTGCTGGTCCGGAGGCACCCGGGGAGGTGTCTGGGGGGTTCGCGGGATGGGTGCCTTCTCATCTCCCCGAAATCTTGCGCAGGCTGTGTTTCCGTCGCATCTGCGCATGACCGTGGATCAGCTTGCGGGCGCGTCTCCCTCTGAGCCCTGCCGAGGGTGTCGCGGGGATCCCATTGCTGCACCCGCTGTTTTCTCCATCCGGGCCAGGCCAGGCCAGACAAGAAGCTGGTCCTTCTGGTGGTTATTGTGTGCTCGGTGGAAAGCAAGGATGGTCGTACAGATCTTCGACCGTGGGGCGAGTTAGGCAAACATGCACCTGCCTTTGAGGGGAGGAGGGGGAGCGCGAATCTGTGACAGTGAGAGAGCCTGTAGTTGCGTAAGTGCTTGCGGCGTCCCCATGCCCCGTTCTGCCGGCGGACATGGGGTGGCCGAAAGCTTGTGAAGCAATGGTGTGACGGAGTGAAGTTTTGGTCCAGCGGGCTGCCAGGGGGCCCGAGAGTGCGATGAGGCGCCCAGGACCGCCCAAGGGCGCCCGAACATGTCTTGAGAGGGCCCCTGGAAGACTCAAAGAGGGGCCAACAGGACGCAAGAGGTTCCCAGATGACACCAAGACGCCTCAAAGCGGTCGCAAGAGGACGTCCAAGAGAGCCCCCGCACCGCGACAAGTCTCCCTAGTGCAGTCTTGCGGCAGGCTAGTGCCGTGCCGTGCCGACGCAGCGGCGACCTTCGCGCGGGCGCGCAGAGTTGAACGTCGTCAGTGGCCCAGAATCGGCCAATATGGAACGATCTGAGGGTGAGAAGGAGGAGGGGGAGGGGGAGGGGGAGGGGGAGGGGGAGGAGGAGGAGGAGAAGGAGGAGGAGAATGAGGAAGAGGAGGAGGAGGAGAAGGAGGAGGAGGAGGAGGAGGAGGATCTGGTGATCGAGAAGCCGCCGCTCGTTGAAGTTTGACCGAGCGACGGGGTGTCAGGAGCCAGCGCCCGGGTCGTCACGACACGAGCCGGCCGTGCAGTCAAGACTCTGAAGCACGGACTACAGGAGAAAACAGAAAAGGTCAAAAATAGTATGGGGATGATTTTTCCAGCATCTGTGAGCATTTTTGCACATTTCTTTTGTTTGCAATGTTTGCTCTTTCGTCCACAATCCGCCTGTAGGAGGACATGCCCGACCTAGCCCTGGGCCCAGGAGCTTGTGGGCCCTGGAAACGACAGGGCCGTTTTTTTACCGGTTCCGTTTTGCCGTTTTTTAATAGGTTCCGACGCCGTTTTTTTACCGGTTCCGTCGCCGTTTTTGTTACCGGTTCCGGCTCCGGTTCCAATCCTGGAGCCGTTTTTGGGCCGTTTCCGGTCGCCGTTTGTTTGCCGTTTCCATTTTCAAGGGACGGTTTTTCGGAAACGGTGAAAAAACGGCCCTGCCGTTTCCGGGGCCCGCAAAGCCCAGGAGGGTCTCTGGTTTTCTCGGGCCGTTCCTCGGGTCCGCGTCGGGGAGCCTGTGCGTGGCCGAGGCTCGCCGTAGCCGGGAGAGCCCCCGCGCTCCTTGCGTCGAGGGAGGAGGCTCCACCTAGAGGAGGAGGAGGAGGAGGAGGAGGAGGAGGAGGAGGAGGAAGGAGGAGGAGGAGGAAGGAGGGTAGGAGGAGAGGAGGAAGTGGAAGGAGGCG